GCGTGTAAAAAGACATATAAGGACATTAGTGTTTAATTTTATAATTTTTAGCTATTGCATATAAAAACAATATTACATACATTTAATTACAAAGTATAAATCATTTTACTTCAACCAATGATCAAAAAAGAAAAAGAAAAAAGGAAGTGCATTTAAATTAAAGGAAAGTGCATATAAATTGTTTATTGCATGCTCTATGGATCAGTAACTTATGCCTGGTAGCCAAAAAGTTTTTAATCAAAATTAATAAATTTGCACATTGTTTTGCCAAAGAAAGTAATGCGCATTGTGGATAACACGTTGAAGTTACAACGTAACAACGTAGCCAAATCCAAACGCTAGGCTATGCAGCGTTTTGATTTTTGACTGGTAGGGTCCAATAAGCTAACTTAATAAGTCATTTACCAAACAATAGTTTTGGCTTTTAAAATAGTCAAACTCATTAATTGTAGACAAAGAAGCTAAAAAATGGCTGATAAGCCATTTGCCAAACAAGACCATGGTGTCGAACATGGAAATTGTTCAATCGACTTGGCTTTTCTGACAACAGCTTTCAAATTGTATATAAATAGGGAAATAAAAAGTGCAAATCACCCTTTATATAGGAGGTTCTATCCGGCCGTCGCCATTTGGAGCGGTTCCCCGATGGAATTGTTAGATGAATTTTTTAGCATCTTATTCATTAAGTTTACTTAATGCATACCAAATTTCATCTAAAAATTCAATCGAGAAGGCAGTCAATGAATTTTTGAAGATATTTGCGCAGTTAAACAGCGTAGTATATTTAAAAGTGAAATTATGTAGCTTATAAATTTTTATGTACTTCAAATCTTGAAAAACTTTGAATTTCAGTAACCCTAATAACCAATTAACACACTTTATATATTTGAAATAGTATCTAATTTATAAGACACACTTCATAAAAATACTATTATGCTTAATTTGCTAGTTAACTATACTAATATATTTAATACAAATAAATATAAATATAACTAAATATTTATACAAACATATACATACACATATAAATAGGCCGGCCGGCCTGTTAAGTTAAAAGGGCTTTAGAGTAGGGCTAAGCCTGACCTTTTTAGATAAACAGGCATTTCGAAAAGCCAAAGCCTACTTTGATTCCTAAACAGGTCAAGCTAGGTCAGACCTTAAACAGGCCAGGCCACAGGCCCCTGATAGGCCGCCTGGCCTATTCCCACCCATAATCGCATGCTGACCTTGATATTCATGAAATTTCCGATTGTATGTTTTTATTTTTAACTAGTTTTTTTAGTTCTAGTTGTGGAAATTACACACTTTTGGTGTAATACTTTATTTTCATTTTTTATTTGTAATTTAGTTAGATTAGGATTTTTCTGAGCTAAACAGGTCAAAGATCATCTAAGGGATCAAGATTGGACCTTAAAAGATCAAGGAAAGTGCAAGGAGACAAGAAAGATTTCGATTTGGAAAAAATACTCATGTACCCGGTCGGGTATTGCCTATACCCGATCGGGTAATTGCTTGATTCGACTGTCCAAATCAACTCCGAAGACAAATGATCGTGGGAGCAAATTTTCATAAAGATTTGTCACATACCCGATCGGGTATATACCCTTACCCGATCGGGTATGCCCAGAAAAGTGACTTTCTGGGCAATTTCCTGAGATACCCGGTCGGGTATCCCATATACCCGGTCGGGTATCAGACCCTGCAGCTCCCAAAAGCCTATAAATACACCCCTTTCCTTCACAATAAAATCACCAATTCACATATACTCTTTAGCTCAATTTAGATTAGTGTTTTCTTTATATTTTCTATCATGTTTAGTCTCCAAATGAGGAGCTAAACTCTTCCATCTTGGTTTTGCTACTTTGAAGCTTAATGAATTTGTAAGTTGTGAGTTATTCTCTTTAATCTTCTTCCTTGAATATTAATTCTCCCTTTAAATACTATTTCTATATCAATGTTGGGGAGTGTTACTAAGATGACAATTAGTTAACATCTTGACATTAGTTATAGTAATAGCTATTTCTTCCTCTATGTTAATATTGAGGAGTGTTACTAAGATGACAATTAGTTAACATCTTGATATTAACTATAGTAGGATTCATCTTCTTTAATATTCTTCCTTGAGTATTAATTAATTCCTATTCATATTTCATATTAATATTTTGAACATTACTTAAAGGATCAACTAGTTTTGTCTCATATATTAATTATTACTAGAATCGGTCGGTTAATACGCTTGTTATTAATTCGGTCCTTTCACGGTAGTAAACTTGGGTTGTTAATGCATGCTTCTCATGGTTAATAAGCCAAGGGGAATTAACCAATAAACCGCTTGTGTTGAGGTTATCAATCTCAATCGTTTTCATCTTGATTTTATGGCTACTATCAAGTTAATATACGGCGCTTGTTCTATATTGACTCGGTAGTAAGTTTTATTAATGAACGCGTCTCGTTATTAATAACTACCCTCGATGAACTAGATATACTACTCGATTGAGTATTCGAGAGGAAGATAGTTAAAGATATAACCGGGATCGACGAACATTTCATTAAGTGGATAAAAGCAAAGCCAAGTCTTCTTCTCATTAATTAAACCACATAACTCGTTCATCTTCGTGTTTAATTTATTAAACCAAATCAAACTAAAACCCCCCATTTTGTTACTAGTTCTATAAAAAGAAAAGTATTCCTTTCCCTGTGGATACGAACCTTACTACGCTATACTACGTATAAGTGTTGTATTGTATTATTATTTTGAGTGCACTTCACGACAAAGTGCACGTCAGACCCGCATGCATACCTCCAACTATTATCAAATTCACAAATTTATCTCATACTTCCACTTTTATTTAAAAAAATCAAACTTCAACTTTTCTCACAATTTCATTTTCAATGAATGTATTAGTAAAACGTAAGGAGAAAATCACATTTATATTTTATATTATTTCACTTCTTTCTAGTTTTAAGTTTACAAACTTGTACTGCTTTTATCTTATTGGTATTGAAAAACATGTGTAGTTTTGAAAAAACGAAAAAAGAAAGCATTTATTGAAAAAGATGAAATCTGTTTTTTAAAGTCAAAGAATAAGATATATTTGTTTATTGATAAAATAAGCTAATAATACAAATAGAAATATATTAAGATTCATAGTACTTAAAGTCCTTGTTTAATTGTTTTCAATCACTCAGGTCTTGTATTGACCATTTATCATTTAGTGAACCTATCTTTTAGTTTATTGAATAGATATAATTCGGTTTTAATTCTACCATGCATCATCTTGTGAGGTTGAGTGTGGAGACTTTTGGGGGTGAGCAATTCCACCTTTGGATTGAAGAAGAATTAATAATATCTCGTCCCGCAATACGTTTCTCATTGAAAAATGAAATGATTGATTAGATAAGAGTCAAATAAGGTTATTCGAGTACATTTTGAGAAATAGTTTTGACGAGTATATATTGTAATGAGGTCATCAATGATAATTGCAATATAAAAGGTCTATTAGTTTTACTATTTGATGTTTATATTGTTATTAGTATTATTTATTTTCTATAATTTAAATAAAATCTTTTTGTTGAGAGCTCTGAAATGTGCTATAAAAAGTTTTAGGTGAGAAGGGAATACAATTTTATTTATTTTGTTAGGTAACATCTTCCACAATTATCTCCCAACTTTCATTTTCCGTTCGTCTCAAAATAACTTACAAAAAATTTCACAAAATTTATTATACCTTCTTCTGTCACCTACACAATTCCCTACCTCATAATATTCATTTTCTTAAATATATGTTAAAAAGTGAATTGAAAGATTGTGAGAGTATTGAAAAATGACCTTTTTACAATAAGATGATGATTTAAGCCTTTTTAGATTTTTAATAAGTGAAAACTTTGTGTGGGATAGAGTATATGAAAACGGGTCTCGATCTTATGACTACTAGGCATGAACAATGGCTCATGTTCGTATAGTAGATATCATTCTCATTATTGTACATCATCATTATTATACGATTTTCTAGATTAGATTTTTATATTATCAGTCACTTTATGTAATCGGATTTGTGAGACCCTAATTCGCACAACCAATATTCAACTCACATTCAAAACCTGGACATCGGTTCACATACACCCAGCAAAAAACATTTATATTATTGTACAGTTTACAAATCCATTATATATGCTACCTCCGTTCTCTTTTAATCGCAATATTGTATTTTTTTTACACTATTCACATATTTTATTTTGACTATATTTCATTAATTAATGTATTATAAATTAAATTTTTTAGAAATATTGTTAAATTCTTCTCATTCTAAATTTTCAAAATATGATTTTTTTTTAAAATTTTTTACTATTAAAGAATGACAGATATTAGGCTAAAGGGTCAAATAAGCCCTTGAACTGACTTAAAGTGTTCAATTAGTCCCTTATATAAGAGGTTTTGCCCGACCGTTGCTAATTGGGGTGGTTCCCGGTGGAATTTTTTGATTAAATTTTTTGACCATCTTCTTCATTAAGTCTAGTTTACCCATACCAAATTTCAGCTAAAAATTCAATCGAGAAGGTAGTCAAATGATTTTCTGAAATGTACTGCGTTGTTTAACTTTCAGTTATCTTCAAAAAATCATTTGACTGCCTTCCCGGTTGAATTTTTAGCTAAAATTTGGTATGAGTAAACTAGACTTAATGAAGAAGATGCTCAAAAAATTTCATCAAAAAATTCCACCGGGAACCGCCCCAATTGGCGACCGCCAGACAAAACCTCCTATATAAGGGTCTAATTGAACACTTTAAGTCAGTTCAAGGGCTTATTTGACCCTTTAGCCAAGATATTAATGGTCAAATTTGTGTGTTTGTAAACGTGAAATGTTGACGGTTGCAATTAAAAGTGAACGAATGAAGTACTACGTCAAATGTTGACTGTTGCAATTAAAAGTGAACGAAGAAAATACTAGATTAGTCCTTTATGTATTTGGGTCTATCGGTCCCGTATTAGCGACCCCACCCGCTATTTCTATATATATTCCTTATTGGAAACTTGCAAACCCTAATCAAACATTTATCCATTATACAAATTACCTTCTTCTCTATTCTTTGTTCATCTCTCATAAATTATACAACATGGATAACTATTATCCATGAGAGCATCTCCAATGGTAAAATGTGCACGGTGTACACGTGGCATGAGAAATAGCCACATAAATATTAGTAAACAAATTCTTTCTCTCCTTATTTGAATGATTTTATACAGTTTTGGTAAGGTTTTCTCTACAATGTCAAGGAGATCGTCTAGATGTTGACATTGTTGTTGACATTGCAGGGAAAAACTTACTAAAATTGTATAAAATCATTCAAATAAGGAGAGAGTTAATTTATTTGCTAATATTTATGTGGCTATCATTCATGGCACATGTGCACCGTGCACATTATAGCATTAGAGATGCTCTGAAATGGCGTTCTCATTGAGAGATTTGAACACACTCAAGTGTGATCCCTCCCAATTAACCAAAAATTCAACCAAGAAACCGTTATGGAACTAAAAGAATGGAAGAAAAAAGTCTAGAATCGCAGGGATCTGGGATGTTCCCAAACCGGAGCAACCGTCGCCCCACTGCGTCCCAGACCAGAACATTGTTGCCACCAGCTGACCACCACTGCCACGGTCCACGGATCTCGCCGACCACCATGAGTCACCGGCCATTGTTGCCGCTGCAGCCCACTCCTCTTTGTTTGGCGACGGTCCTGGACGAACAGCCACTCTCTGGAGTCTGGACGGTGGTAGCCAGATCCGGTCCTCCCTTCTGCAGTTGAAGCCAAGATGGCGGGTCAAGGGCTCTGCGCTCCTATTCTTCTTGGTCGTCACTCTTAGGCAGAAACAGCCCGTAGAATCCCCAGCAACGAAGGTAGAGGCAGAGCCGAATGGGTCATCCCGGCCGGCTGAAAGCTTTGTCAGCTGTACATCAAGGAGCTGTTCTTCGGTAGCTTCTCACGTGGAGTAAAAGAACCCAGCGGCCCAGACCACGTGGAGCCCAAAGTTGATTCCCATGATGGGCCCATTCCAAAGCTAAGTGCCCAATACTCCTACTTCAAGCACTAAGATATTAATTAAATAAAGAGAAAAGTGTCAGTTTGGTCCCTCAAGTTGCAGCCGGGGGAGTAAAGAGTACCTGTAATTGCATTTGTGCTCCAGAGATACATCAAATAGCCAAAACGGGTCTAATTTGGTCCACTACTTCATTAGCCAGTTAAAAACGGTGATGTGGCCAACAGATTAATGACATGGGAACTAATTAACCAACTCACCCGCTAACTCTTCCACCTCAGCATCGTCCTCAGTTCTTCTGCATTTAAATCGAACCCTAGCATACATTTCTCTTTGTTTCTCTCTTTCAGCGTATTGGGTCTTCATCCCTTCTGTACTCGGTTAATATATCATCTTACTCCTGTGTTGTTGAAGATTTTTATGCGGCGGTCTTCATCCCTTCTGTACTCGGTTAAGATATCATCTTACTCCTGTGTTGTTGAAGATTTTTATGCGGCGGTCTTCATCCCTGAGGCGTATTGGGTCGCAAACTAACCAAATTTTTTGTCCTTCAGGTTTGGGAAGAAGGAAAATGTCTTATGGAAATTGCTATTGTGGAATTCCAACAAGGACAATGACTTCATGGACAAATGACAACCCAGGGAGACGATTCATTGCATGTTCAAGAGTAAGCCCATTCGAATGATAAAAGTATAGTATTTATGATTGTTCTTGTCTTGACTTAACCCTATTATTGCAAATAAGGCACAGGTGCCTGCTGCAACATGTTCGAATGGCTTGATGAAGAAATGTGCTACAGGTCCAAGATGATTATTCCTGGTTTGCTGAGGAAAATAAACACATTGGAAGCTCAGCTTGTTGAGGAGAAGGCAAAGGAAAAAGGGGTGTCAAACAAAAATAGGCTTTGGAGTGTGTTGTGGTGCACGCTTGCAGGAATAGGTATGCTAGTGATATGGGTTGTTTGGAATGACAGTGCAAGCAAGAAGAAGGTACCTTGGAAGATGTGTGAGGCTGGAACTGAAGCTGGAATGGATTAATTGAAAATGGAAACCATGTATCTGTTTTAGGAAGTAGTGTATGTACCATCAGTTTGTTAGGCTTGGTGTAACTGTTTCTTAAATTTGTGGTTTCACTTTGTTTGGTTTGATGTATGAGTTTGTTATGTTTAATGTATCAGTATGATAACTTTGATGTATCATTTTGTTATGTTATGTTTGATGTTATCTAGGCTGATCAGTTTCTTTGTCATGATGTAACACAAATATTGTAATGTGTTGACCTCTCTTGGCAGTGGTTAACAATTGTGCTGTTTCAATGATATGTGTAATGTAGTATTTGGTGCATTTATAAGTTTCTGAACCATAATTGGCCTGATATATGAGCATGCCTGAGTGCTAAGGAAAGCATGCATCCTGTTGTGCAATTGTTAAACCATTGTGAATTGAAATATGTGTCCAAATTTCATGACTGATACTGCATAAGTCAAACCATCATCTTAAACCATAATCCTATGACAGTTAAAGCATGTCTGAGATATGCAAGATTGGAAAGAAGGCTGAACTATAGTGTCATACTCTCACAACTAAAACCATAATATGCATGTGTGGAAACATGCCTGAACTTAAAGTGCCATCTTCCATAACCATTGAAAGGACAATTCATATACATGCACACATAAAACCAAAAGTTACTTAATACTGAACATCATTACATTAATGTTTCATAATGCTTACAACCTTCCATTGACTAATCAAAGACCATTACATACAACCTTCCATCTGCCATTATTGTTTTATTCAGCCTCCTCCTAATTCTTGGGCCTAAGGTACCAATCCACTTATCTGTTAAATCCCTATTTTTGCTAAGCCTTTGCATGACTAATTTCCTTATATACTCCAATTGAGAAAACCCAATCCGAGATCTAGCAGGGACTATAACTCCATTAAATGCCTCACACAGATTGTTATCTACAGTCTCACATTTGATGCTCCTATCAAAGAAAGCTCTACACCAAAACTTTGGATCTACCTTCAAAATGTCTTCATGAGCACTATTGGAAATAGATTTCAGTCCTTCTAGATTCTGTTCAAACTCTCTCTTTGAGGCAGACTTGCAGCACTTCCAGAATTGTCTTTGCAATTCAATACTAGGATTATTTCTTCTCCATATTGCATAAATATGTCTGGCACATCTTCTATGCTCAACTTCAGGGAATGTTTCATATAGAGCTGGCATTAATCCCTGAAATAAAGAAATGTAAGTTACTAATAAAGATTATGTAATGAGACTGCAAATAACTTTCAAATGATATATAATGAATAGCATATGGAGAAATCAGAACACTAGGGTGGTAATTACTTCATGTAAAATGTTGTAATCAGTAAACTAAGTTGCAAATAACTTTCAAATAATATTATGAATAGTACTAAGGTGTAATCAGTAAACTAAGCTGCAAATAACTTTGAAATAATATTTTGAATAGCACTAAGGTGTAATCAGTACCATAAGGTCTAATAAGGTGCTAAAGAATTGATATTAATGACACTGGTATTCTCATTTGGTCTAATATTACTCACTTTTTGTTGGTCTGACACAAAAGCCCATCCTTTTCCTGTTCCAATGTTCAAATCATCTCTTAGAATCTCAAGAAACCATTTCCAAGTGGCCTTTGTCTCTGAACCCACAACAGCCCATGCAATAGGAAACATCTGTTTGTTTGCATCTCTTGCTACTGCTGTGAGGATTTCACCCTTCACTTCTGACTTTAGGAATGCACCATCTATGCCAATAAGCCTCCTACATCCCTCCAAGAAACCCTTTTTGCAGGCATCAAAGCACACATAAAACCTCTCAAAAACTGGATTGGGTTGCTGTAGCTGTAGAATGCAAGTATTCCCTTGATTGGACCTAAGGATTTCAGCCTTGTAATCCTCCAAGCTTTTGTACTCTCCCTCAATGTCCCCCTTTTCCATCTTTCTTATCATTCCTTTAGCTTTCTTCATTTGTTCAAGGGAAACATCACAATTAAGTTCTGTCTTAACCATCTCTTTCATTGCTGCAACCTTCATGTCAGATACACCTGGCTTATTGTGGAAGAAATTTTTTACTAACCATTTTGCTGTTGCACTTGGAATCTGCCATCCAGGATTACAAGTATGGGCCATGTTTAATGTCTTTAGCACCCATTTTTTACTGCTACTGCGGTTGTCTATGGAAAAGTAGGCCACCCATGTGCAAGTCTTCTTCAAATTGGAACACTTTGCCCTAAGCATGTTCTTGGTGTTCTTAGCCCAATAGTAAGGATACCTTTTTGTGACTGAGTACTTGTCAATGGCCTGTTTCACCTCTTCTTTGGACTGGAAGCTCATACCACAATAAAAATCAACCTGGTCATCTGCTTTGAAGTTTGGGAATCTTGATTTAACTCTCATGCTTTCTTCTTCTTCAGGATCAGAACCCGATTTGTAACTTCCTTCATCACTTGAATTGAAATAATCTGTCTCATTCCCAGCATCCTCAAACAATTCTTCTTCTTCAACCCTTATATCATTGCCAGCAGAAGTTGAGGCTTGGTTTTTACCATAATTCTTTGCATTTGTCACCAACTTCCTTAGCAACAACCGACCTTGCAGTAGCTCTTCATCATCTTCATTATCAGAGTTGACTTCCTCTTCAAACAATAAACCTGCTTCTGCCTCAAGAAGAGGATCTGTAAATCCCAAATCCACAATAAAAGGGACTGGAGCAGTAGGTGCATCCTTGAGGAGCCTGTGTCAGATTACATGGGTTAGCAGTTACAAATACCATTCAAATAAATGCTGTCCAGCTACATATATTCAATGCAACCAAAAAAATATAAATTTAAACATAACTTCATTAAATCATAACTGAATCAATAATAGCAGAAAATAACAGCAGGGGACACATCCACGTGCATATTATTAGCAGTGTACCAGTATTACAAACACATAATGTTAGCATATACGGAGTAATATATAAAAGAAATCAGAGAATGGGTACAAACAGCAGGGACAAGTGTACTGTAAAGTATAACAGTCTTTGTCATTTACATACCTTCGTTGCGAAGAATCCATGCCTATCTTCAAATAAACGGACAAATCCGAAGTCAGAAAAGGAGCTCGTGAGAAAGGCCTTTGTCCTCTAGGTCGTTGTCTTTACAACGTTCGATTTAGGGTTGGAGAAGGCAGAGGTGGAAGAGTTAGTGGGTGAGTTGGTTAATTAGTTCCCATGTCATTAATCTGTTGGCCACATCACCGTTTTTAACTGGCTAATGAAGTAGTGGACCAAATTAGACCCGTTTTGGCTATTTGATGTATCTCTGGAGCACAAATGCAATTACAAGTACTCTTTACTCCCCCGGCTGCAACTTGAGGGACCAAACTGACACTTTTCTCATTAAATAAACTACTTCCGTCCCATGGTTGTCCACTTTCAATTTTGGCACGATTATTAATAAAGTAGTTGAAAAGTAAATGTTGTGGTTGAGATTTGTGTAGAATGAAGTGAAATGATAAAGACCACATATTTCTTGCTAAAAAAGGAAACATGATATTCATTTTGGGACAACCCAAAAAAGAAAGTTGGACAACCAAAATGGGACGGAGAGAGTAGTAGTCTAATTGTTACTCCGTATATTACTATGATTATTATTATTACCACCATCCTTAGGGTTGGTTTGAAACTGCTTTTAAAAAAACATTACCCACTTTTACCACGTTTTTGTCTTTAAAAAAACACTTATTTTACCAAACACTACTCACTTTTACTTTTCAAAATCATTTTTTTTTCTCAAACACTATCAACTTTTATTTAATCACTTCTCCTCATTTCATTAAAAAAACACTTTTTTAAAAGCAAAAGCTGTTGCAAACGGATCTTTACTGGTGGA